CAAAATTTTATCAAAATTCCAGTAGAGTCTCAACAAAACTCTGTCTATTTGCTATTAGAAAATCAAATACAAGGCAACTCGTATGTTGACAATCGACCAAAGGTGTCTAATCCAGGGATGACACGGGACTCCTTTTACAGTAAGGTGGGTTCAACAGCCATGGTTATACTTAACCTCTTGTATTAAAAGGATTCAAACCAAACACAACCTAAAAGTTAGCTTAGAATATTTTAGTGGCATCGTTTTTTTAATAAAAAAATATTTACATTCAATCAATGAATCAACGAGTTCAACCATGGTGCATTTATTTATTTTAGTTGCATGTTAAATTCAAATCTCAATCAATCATGTTAAAGGCATCTTACTTTTCATTGGTTCAAGTTTCACCAAAGTCTATTTTCACACTAATGAAATAAAAGTGTCTGACATTTAACAACATGTGAACCAAAGATATCATTTGCTGCAAGCAAAGGCACCATATATTTTGACTGAATTAAAGCATTCAAAGACAGAAATATGGTAGAAAAAACATTCAAAACTTAAATGGCTTTTCATCCTTTAATAATCTTTTTATTTTAACCCGTGCAACATGCATGGTTTTCTTATACTTTTTCTTAGACAGGAGACTGACTTTGGCACATGTAATTTTTTTGATAAATTGGGCATACACCTAAGGCTGTGTTTGGTTTCAGAATTTACACTGAAATCATTTGTACTGTCACAGTTCCACATCAGTGCAAATTTATTTGCATTGCAATCAAATACAACCTTATGACATGATAAAGAAACTATTTTTTGATATAATAAGGGGTGTTCTTTTTTAGGATTTGGAGAGCGGGGAAAGTTGGTCAATGAAATTTTGGTTCCCATTGACCAAGAATCCCATGTTTGTATTTTTCAACTTTATGTGGGAAGCAGGAAAAATTTGTTTTTTTGGGTATCACTTACCTAGGAAAGTGGTACCCATCTCTTAGATGGGTAAATAATTTTCTCACATAGGGAGAAAATTGTTAGCACTTGAATGGGACAAAAATGCCCCTATCAATAATAGATTTCTATGGCTAAAATGGTCATTGCCTTATTAATTACCTAAGAAATAAAAGAACATGGGTAAATGCACTTACCTGGGTAGTGTTTCACATGAAAAATTTACCCAGGTAATTGCATTTATCCGGGTAAGTAACTTATCGAAAAACGAGTGAGGCCTAAAAGTTACATCTAAGAGAAAATATAAAGCAAATATCTCTAAGGGGCATTCTTTTCTAGGATTTTGAGAGGGGGGAAGTTGGTCAATGGGCAAGAAACCCATGTTATTTTATCAAATTCATGTGGGGACTAGGGAAAGTTTATTTTCATGCTCATCGCCTAGGTGGGTAAATAACTTTCCTACCTAGAAGAAAAGTTGTCAAATACTTGAATGAGACAAAAATGTCACTTTTAATGGTGGATTTTTATGGATTAAATGGCCATTGTTTTATTTACATTGGAAAATAAAAATACATCGATAAATACACTTACTTGAATAAATCTTTCTTCGTAAACACTTTCCCGGGTAAATACATTTATCTAGATAAATAACTTACCAAAAAAAACACGACCTAATAAATAATAACAATTAAGACTATTTAATATTTTATTCATTCAAAGACAAAACAATAAGTGATTCAGTTCAACTATTTCAACTGCTATCAAATCGGCCACACTATCCTCAGTCTTAATTTGTTACCATCTCTCTGGTCATGCTCATAATTGAAAAGCAATTGAAATGGGTGGGAAACCCACGACAAGTTCATTACTGATCCATTATGTGGGCCCAAGTCTCATCTTTGGCTCTGTCCATGATCAATGGACTGTTGCTACTACATTCAATCATTCATGTCATGTCATAATAAAAGAAGTCACTCACTTTTATTTATCACATTGTCCATAACTAGCTACATCCCATGTGAGCTTCTTCCCCCCTACACATGTCCCCACATGTTGTCCCGACGTGGCTGGCTTGGTCCATTTAGGCCGATACGGCCGAGCCACTTTGTGTCTAAATCACCAACCATGCACGCTGTGCTGAGCAGCACACACTGTTTGGGGTTCCTGTTGGCCGACCTAACTGGGTGGTCAGTGGTGGTTTAAGGTGAAATGGGCCTTGTTTTCATATTTTTTAGGTGGAAAAAATTACTTATTCATTTAAGAGATGAGTATTACTTATCAGAAAAATAAAATTTTCCTAAATCTTACATAAATCTAAAAAAAATATATATATACATTGATTAATAAAAACCTAAATCTCATTAACTAATTTTTCCTCTTCAAAATCTAAAGAATGAACAGACGCTTAACTTATTTTACCCAGGGGTAAAATATGTATAACCGATACATGCCGATAAATGTCAGAAAATTTTGAACCTTGATGTGGGGTGTAGACTGTGTTGTAGAGCCTCCCTCCATGCCTAACCTTTTAATGAATGACGTCTCTGTCTTTTCCAGCTTTTGATTGTGTTTTGAATGCCCAGAAATAATGGAAGATGACCTGTTTGATTGACCTAAAGCTGAACACCACTTATCAAACCATTGCTTGCTTGCTTGTGGAGGATGCCTTGTGACGTTCCTTACTCAAGTATATAGAGATAGCAGCTAAAACTTTTGCTTGCTTAGGATGGATGGTCAGTAGCATGTGGCATGTGATGTGCCTAGCCATGTTTTTACCTTTCTTTTTTTTTTCAAAATAACCAGTTTGTTGAGTTTTCTTTTGTTTTTTCTTTAGACTCAAGACCTGTCCGATTTGGATAATGTTTGATGAAAATTGTTTATCATAACTGATTACTGGATGAGACTCATTTTTATATGAAGTCGGGTTGTAAGCATGGTATTGATTTTCACGTATGGCATGATTCAAAAGGGCAGCCCAGTGCGGAAGGCTCCCACCAATGCGGGGTCAAATGTAGTGGGTGTTAAGTATTGATACCGTTTTTTGAGAAAACGGTGCCATGTAGGCACCACATCAGAAAAAAAGTGGTTTTTTAAAAAATGGTATCCTATTTGGTATCGTTTTTTCATAAAAAATATTGCTTCAGACCATGCTTTGAAAATAGGGAAAGTGTGGTATGAAGTAATGTTAAATTTAATGTTTTCTTAGAAACAATTTGTTACTGCAATGGTGTAATGATGTGACATCATCTTGGACGTTGAATAAAATGACCAATGCTGAAAACGGTTCCAAACAAAAAAAAAAACACCATTCAGTACTATCTTTTATAAGGAAACGGTGTGGTGTTCCCAACACCAATACCAAATGCCTACGTACTCAACCTTACCCTTTCTACACAGGCTGTTTCCAAGGTTTGATTAAAAAAGGTGATACTCCTTAGGCTGTGTTTGAAAATGATGCAAATAAGTGTCAATGTAAATATGTAGAGTGTAAAACGGTTCATATAAATTGCAATATTGGGTTAGTTTTGCATTGACAAATTTACCTTCTTCCAAACAAAGTTTTAGCTGCAATGGATGCAAACAAGAATTCCAATAAAATATGTTTTTTTTATCAAAATCCCACTTGAATGCAAATTTACATTTTTTTTATTGATGTATTTTTACATCTACTATCGATGTAAATATGCATTGAAAAAGATGTTTTCTGTCATTTGTCAATGCATAAATGTATTGTTGCCAAACACAATCAAAACTTAACCAAAATATAAATTTACCCTAAACTGGGATTTACATTCCATTTGCATCGTTTCCAAACACATTAATTTATAGGATTTCAGGCATCAGCCTATTCTAAAACGTTATAGTTGGGGATGAAAAATATTAAGCTTGGAAAATGGTCATATTTCTCAATTCCTAGTATTTTATGTGTCGATTATATCCAATTATACTATGAACCATGGGTTGCAAGATTGATATGCTTATAGGACCTGTTTGGAGGGGCTTTTGGGTTGATTGAGCCGCTTTGACTGAACCGCTTGAGATAAACTACCTATAACTTCACTAAAAACTCAATTTTTTGTTTCATGTAAGTCTATTTTCAACTTTTTAATTTTTACTAAATATGACTCAATAAGTTTTTGGATTTATCAGTTCATGTAATGCCGGCGACTGCTGCTCAGCACTTCCAAACGAGTAATAGGTATATGTTTAGCATTGATGTTGTAGATATAATATCATTTTTTAAGAAAATAACGTCTTTTCTTGGAAATATTACTGGTAGATAGAATATTTTTTGGAGCAACAATGACACTTTTTATTTGGTATCAGTGCTCTATGTTTTCAATATTAATACTCATTATAGGAAGTCCATGTTACTGCCACCTTATCTCTTTATTGATAGTAACGAGCTCCAATATAAAAAAATATTAAATTTAACATTACTCCAAACCACATCTTCTCAATTTCTAAAGTGACTTAGAATACCATTTTTTTATAACAAAGCAATTTCAAACATATTAACGTTTCCTCTAAAACACCAATTTGTTACTGATGTATCACCCTTTTCCGAAGCAACGGCAAACGATGCCAAAGAGACGCTGTCGTGTGTAATAAGCTTCCCAACATCGATGTTGTTTACCCCAAACAGCTGAAAGATGTTCCATTTGCCAGCGGTGCGAGTGAGATCAGATCAGGCTCAGCTCCAAATGGGCAAATGTGTATTATCATATTATGTAGTCTGGTCGGGTCGTCGGATCGATCCGTTAACCGAGTGTGAAGTCAACTATTTCAAACATGGGTTTCTGTTCTGATTTTAGTATTTAATAAGTCGCAATTTGTACTTGACCCGCTGACCCATACCACGTGAAAAGCTACGCTCTCCGGTATTTTAAAACAATATTTTTGCCTTTTAGATTTTGGACAGGCATTCCCTCGCCACGTCATCAATCAATCAGAATTTTCCCATTTTAAAAAATTTATTTTAATTGAAAAAATGGGTTTTTTTCAATAAAAATCCTTTTGCGATCACCGATTCATCCACCCCCCTCCCCCAGGGCCCACGCCCCATCCTTCTCTCTCTCGGTCTTTCTCTCACATAAAAAGCAGACACAAGGGAGAAAGCCGAAAAGGGAGACGGAAGAAAGAGAGAACGCTTTCTTTCCTTTTTTTTTTTTTTCTTTTTTAAACTGGTTCTTCGTGGCGCCTCTTTTGCAGATCTTCGAACCCTAATTCTAAATGAGAAATCTCTATATCTCTCTATTTTTCAAGAATCTTCCTGTTTGGTAGTGGGAGGAATACGAGATCGATGAATGTTGTGCTCGATCCGTTCTTGATGGCTTAAATGAATGTTTAAATGATTTTCTGAGCTGGTTCTGAGCCTGCACTGCAGAAGAAGCGCTGGAACTTTTTGTCTTTTAGTTCTGATAGATTTTTCGACGGCCGGAGGTGAATCTTTAGTGCTTCAGACTTCAGAGCAGTTATTGCTGGTATTGGTGAGGTGTGTTTTGGTCGTCTGAGATGTTCAGAGAACTTTAATTTTCATTTTTTATTAATTTTCTTTTGTTTAGATAGTGGAAAGCGGATTCTCGGTGCTTGACTTCGGTGTTTTTTTCTGGTTTCGGGTGATTTGATTGGACTCTCGGGAAGCATTGTATCTCGTTGTTAACTTTGTATTTTGTGGCCGAGTTGAAAGGATTTGCTTGGATTCGGGCAAGTTAATTTCGGGAAACATTTAATTTTGAGAGTCCATTCTGTTTTGTGTTGCTGTATGAGATTCGGTGGGATGTTTGGGTCCGAGGTGCTTGGTCAGAAAATGGTTTAGCTGGCAGATATGGAAGACCGTGGTGGATCATTTGTCGCAGTGAGGAGGATTTCTCAAGGTCTCGAGAGGGGGAGTGCCTGCCAGTCTACTTCAGGTACGCCATAAACTTATCATATTTCCTAACAAATGCCATTTTCTCTTCTCGGTAAACTTGAGGAATCACGGGTTATCGACTTCTTTTGTTATTCGGTATATATTTCATGTTCTATGCGGCAAAAAAAAAAAAAAAGGAAGGAAAAGAATGAATATTACTTGCCACTGGTACTGCGTCATGGTAGCAAATGCTTGTTTACTTTCTTCTATTCCCTTATTTGGAAGGAACTTTACAAACAGGTCTATCTAGTTACAATAATCTATTTGGGATGTGGCATTAAGTGAAATAGCTGGATTTTATATTCTAAAACAAGAGAATAATCTGTCTAAAGCTTGTATTTTTTATACAATTTTATTTACCGGATGAATTCATGTAGGATTTTCCTTATCATCTCAGACCAGAAGGTTATTGAGTGGATATTGCACATGCGGGAATGATGAAACCGAAGGGCCCTACTGAGAAAAGAGAGCAGATGTGTGAATTTCTTGCCATAGGGATTGTAGTATAGAGTAGTAGATTGCCACACTCTTTTCCCCTTGTCTCAGATTCTTCACATCACTTTTCAATTTGTATGCTCTGGCTACATTCAGTTTYTGTGAAKAGGTCTCAGTTACACTGTCCCATATCTCCTTAGCTGAAGACATCCAGAGATAGTGCTGGCTTATATGGAGTTGCATAGAGTTGACTAACCATCCTATAACAGTATAGTTCTCTTGCATCCATCTTTTAAATTCAGGGTCTGTCTCTTCGGGTTTCACCTTACTGCCTGTGAGATACCCGGGTTTTCCTCTACTACAAACATAGATTTTTATAGACTATGCCCAAACAAGATAGTTCGTCCCATCTAGCTTAATTGTGGTAACACCAGTCAAAACGGAATCTACTGAAGCAGGTCCAAAAACTGGCACCTGCTTGAACTCACTTCCGTATGCCTCCATTAATCAAACGAAAATCAAAGAACAGAAAATTTTGACTATGTAAACTTACTTGAAGTCAAACCAGAACTTGGGTGCTTGAAAAACTAGGGTTTTGCTTCGTCCAGCAGATGGGAGGAAGAGAGAAGACACTGTCGCACCTACCAAACTAACCCAAACTCTTCCAAACCTGAACCGCCCTCTTTTAACAGTCACAAGACACCTTCCAAGCACAGAGTGCCACACCCAAGCTTCACCTTTCCTAGTAACCTCGAAAATCTCTAGTCGACTAGGGTTTTGGGCAGCAGCAAAACAGCATCACTTCTTGGCAAAATCTGGACAAAACTAAACTCTCCATACACTCTCTTGATTTTAGAGTGTACAGGAACAAAGAAAAAGAAGGAAGAGGAACTGAACCCGCTCTGATACCAAGATGTAAATCAGTCCTCTAATATCAAGATTAAACTTAGTGATTAGCAGAATAGAACATATCTAAATAACTGTATAAGAGAGGAAGATGGCGAAGAGAAGAGGTAAGAAAAGAAGAAGTCGAATTAATCACCCTTCTCCTCTAACCCTATTTTATTAATCTCTAAAAAATTGATGACAAGTATACCCTTAAGTGGGCGGCCAGCTTGGCAATTACATAAATAAAATAAAATAAGAACAAATAACAGGCCCATTAAGTGAGGCCCATCAACATAAATTAAAGGATAAAATAAAGGATATCACACGAGAGGCTGTTAGGGCCCATTCGGCCCAGTCTCTTTACAAGTGGATACTCTTGTGCTTGCGATAAGATCAAACCTGATGGTGATAGCAAACCACAGGGCAACGTTTTCACCCCTACTTCTGACTTAATTTTGCCATTAGTCTATTTTACTCTTGTTGTCTTTTGAATAGTTTAACTTAGATATGTTTGATCTATGTATCATCATAAGCACATAATTATTATGACTGAAAAGCTTATTTATGGTTTATCTTGTAATAATGCTTTTCTTGGTTTTGCTTCTTTCCTTGCATGTCCTCATAGTAGTTGATTTTGAAGTTTGGTGATTATTATATATTATGTGGCCGTTATATTAGGAACCCTCTAATTTGTTGCAATCTGACTAGAATAACCTTTTGTTATGTTGTTTTGGAGGAATGACCTTGGTTTGCATATGCTAGTAGTAGATAATGGGAGATTATTTAGTTGTTGACTAAGAACTTGAGAAAGTTGGGTTGCTTTTTCTTAAGCATATACAAGTTCTTTGTCTCCGTCAATTAGAAAAATCCAATTCCAATATTTGGCAGTTTTGTATTTCTACAGCTGAAGTAGTGGCAGGGTCCACAGCCTGGCTTGGAAGAGGTCTTTCTTGTGTTTGTGTTCAGAGAAGGGAAAGTGATGCACGCCCATCCTTTGAACTAACTCCTGCCCAGGTAATATTTTTCTTAAAACTTGGTTAATTGGAAATTTATCCTTTACTACTTTGTTTTCAATATCCTGTCTATATATGTATATATTATTACTATTTCATCTGGAAAAATGATGATGACAATAGCATGCCAAAATACTCAATTGAAGTTGGGAATAACCTAGAATTGCATACTTATGTACAAATGGAAAGTTAAATGACACATGTAATAAGTGATAGCAGGGTCCCCAACTCCAAATGACAAATTAGAAACATCATAGAATAATCAAACAGAAGACTTTACAAACCTTCCATGAACAAAAACCATAAGGAACTAGATTTGGGACTAAAACTATAAGTTAAATTTTACAATAAATGATTTAAAATTAAAAATGCATTGGCAACTCAACTCAATGAAGACTTGTGGGCCTTTCCTCACTATATGCTATAAGCTACATAAACCATGTTCTGCATTCCACTCTATCAAGGGTGATATCCATGCTTAAACGATTCATGAAAGTTAACAAAAAGATAATAGTCTTGGAAGCGATCATTGTTCCATCAGCAGCTAGAGATGGTGGGTAGTGCTGCAATATACCTGGATACTTGTACAAGGGTGCCAGGGTAATATAGCTTTGGGATGGTGTTGTTATGTTTTGTGTAATGACTTCTCCTTGTGAGGAGCAAGGAACCTGATGGTTAGGGCTGTACACAGGTTGGTTCAATTTGATTGCATATTCTGTCAATCGAATTGGACATCTCGGGTTGACTATTATGCCAACCAAAACTGATCGAAAGAGAGAAAAAACAGACTTGTAATAGAGACTGTCTGATAGTCAGTTTATTCGGTTTCAACCGAACTGAGACCTTTTGTTCTTGATTGGATTTAGGCCCATGGCCCAAGAAACTTTTATCTGTTTTTTTTATTAGCCAAACTTTTATCATCTCCTCATCATAAATATATCTCGAAAATTGAAAGCTCACGGTTTGTTCCTTGTGAACAGCCCTAGTGGCAGTTTTCACTTCCTCTAGATATTGAATATTGCAAATCATCTGACTCTATGGTTAGGCTTTCTTGAAGTGATGAAATGTGGCTTCATTGTGTATCAATTTTTAAAGGGTGTTTTCTCTAATCATTATTTTCAATATATGGATGTTTTAAGTGCAGTATGACCGAGAAGCTTTCATTTGCCCACTCATCTGCCAAATTCAAGTTGGATAGGCTTTTTTTATTACATCATAATTCATCCCCTTCTAATTTAAAATTTTTCAAAGATCACCTTGCCTTTTTTTTTTTTTTTTTTTTTTTTTCTGGGGGACCTTTTATATGCCTTCATTTAGGAAAAGAAGCATAAATTCTTAGATATCTAATTTCTTTTCTGAAACAGGAACATCTGGGCATGATTTGTAGATCAATCAAGTTTTAAATGAAGTTCATTTTCTGCTTGTTCTATTTATTTATTTATTTTCGTCATCCTATACAAGTAATTGAATAGTAGCCTCCTATTCTGAGTTCAGTATCTTTTAGGAACTGCTTATTGCAAGGAATCTCTAGTTATATTTATGTTTGCATGTATGAGAAGTTTAACTAATTTCGTCACAATTAGGCTTCTACGCTATCTGTATTTTTTTCATGTAGAGGAAGATGTGCCCAATATTCTCCATTAAATAGTGGACCTCTAAGTTGGCAATTTGGCATCTATTTGCTTTTCTTATCCACATGCATTAGCACTATAAGCTTCCATGTGGTCTAATTTTCATCAAGTGATATTAACCATTTGTTTGGCTGAGAATTGCCCCATGAATAAAGAGTGATAAGAGGAATGCCTGAGGTGGGCCCATAACTAGAGTATAATGTGCACATTTTCCACGTTGTTTTACTTGTTCTCTTGTAGTTAAGTTATAATGTTTTCATTAATGCATTGCCCTTAATGCTTTCAGGAGGAGTGCTTGCAGAGGCTACAGAACCGCATAGATGTTGTCTATGATAGTTCAAATCCTCAGCACCAGGTGACATGAACACTGAAAGTCTGAATCATCCTGTACCTGTTTTTCCCCCTTTTCGACTTAAAAACATTTTTAGGGTTTCGTGTCATTATTATGAAACAGTTCTATAGTTCTATCTACCAATGTTGGTCCCAGCTATCTGGGTAAGGAGGGGTAGACTGGGTATCCTGGCTACTGTAGGCTCAAAATATTTAAGCTTCCCTTGATTAAGATTTTCACCAGATTTTCTCCTAACCATTTTAGTTGTTTCTAGATTTGAGTGGCATTGGATACTTGGAATATTGTTGTTGATTATAATGTCCTGAAATGATGAAGGGTTCTCATTAATTGTTTTCATCAAGAATGAAAAGATGAAATATATGATTAATCCAATGTTCAATATCCATATTAGCTTTGAACTCTGCATGGGCTCTGTGGCCCACCATTTCATTTATGGAGACTAGTTAATATCCATGCAACTTCTTTGATATGGCATGGTTCAAAAATAGCAGCGGCTTTTTTTATGAACTACCATTGCTACACTTTCATAGGAAACTTTGAGGGCTCTGTGGAATGCTTCCTTCCCTGGAGAAGAACTCCATGGTTTAATATCGGAGCAGTGGAAGGAAATGGGCTGGCAAGGAAAAGACCCATCAACAGATTTCAGGTATGCTAATCTTTGTATTCTATAGGTCCCTTTTAAGGTTATCACTTATTTGGCTTTTGCATTTGTTGGATTGTAGGGGTGGTGGTTTCATATCGCTAGAGAACTTACTCTTCTTTGCAAGAAATTATCCGGTGTGGTCCATTATGTGCTCTTGATTTGGTTATAGAAATTATCTTTTGTTTTATATGTTGAATTTGGTAATTTTTTTTGGTATTCATATTGCCATACCAAGACCAAATTGAAGAAACCAGACTCTTCATGCAGAAATCCTTCCAGGATCTTCTCCGGAAAGAGGAGGGTGATCGGGCTATATGGGAGTACCCATTTGCTGTAGCTGGTGTGAATATCACATTCATGCTCATTCAGATGCTTGATCTCCAAGCAGGTTTGTAATTTTTTGGAGTAAATGACCAAAATCTCCTTATGAACTAATTGGTGGAAAATTTTCCACCACATTAGTCTATCCCCAAAGCCAGTATCTGTTAGCTACATTCTTTCTGTTTTGAATAGTCCCGATCAAAGTTACTTTATAAGCAACTTAAAATCTTTATAAGTTAGTTTGCACCCAACTTTTTCAAGTGCTTATTTTAAAAAATAAGCACTTATTTCATATTGGGCGTTTGGTAGTCTTTTTTTTTCCAATAATTACCTAAGTAAGCATTTGTGACTATTTTGTCCTTCATTTTCTTTCAAATTTTATGAAAGCACTTTAATACAAACACTTTTACAAAAGTATTTTTATAGAAATACTTTTATAAAAGCACTTTTATGGAAGTACTTTTATAAAATTACTTTTACGAAAGCACTTTTATGAAAGTACTTTCATAAAATTACTTTTAAGAAAGCACTTTTACAAAATTACTTTTATGAAAGCACTTTTACAAAAGTAGTTTCATAAGAGTACTTTTATAAAATTCAACTAGGGATCATTTTGGAAGAGAAAAATTGAATAAGTGCTTATTGTATAAGCACTTAAAAAAGTTGGAAATTTGGGCTTAAAAAATAAGCCCTAATTTTCAAAATAAGCATTTATTTTGGGCTTATTTCCCAAACACCAATAAGTGCTTAATGGTCTGGTCCTGACCCAAATAAGCACTTCTTTGGAAAGCACTTATTTTTATACACTCCCAAACATGGCCTAATATTATAATGAAATTATATTGTTGAAAGTTAGGAGATTTAAGGAATATACTACTGCAGTTCCATCAATTAAGCAAGTGTGCTTTTGAAGTGTTGTCCTAATGCCTCTATAACTTTGCAGTCAAACCACAGACGATGCCGGGAGCAGTTTTCTTAAAGTTACTTGCAGGTAATATTGTAGCACTTTCTGGTTCACGTGTTTTGTACCTATTCTTATCAAGATTTTGAGTTGGTTAAGATAAATCAACTGTGGGGTGGCTCAGTTGGTACGTTAGCTGGATTGTTTCGGAGATGTGGATTTTAGTCCCGCTGTCACTGGGTAGGGATTTGCTACCAACAAAACACTCCCAAACACTTTCCCAACAGACCACTGCAACCATACAGGACTGGGAGGTGTTCTTGGTGGACAACTGTCATGGCTAGTTGGGACAGTGCTGTGAGCGTTTGGTGGTAGCAGATCTGAACTTGCTACCACTGACTTTGGAGAAAAAGTTGGTAGTGATGCTGTGCTATTTCAAAAGGAAAAAGAAATACGGCCCCTATGGCATGGGCCATACTGGGCTTCCTTTTGAGGGGTTTCGACTTCCGAGTTCCGAGCCAGGGCAGGCACCGTTGACACATGACTGAGTGCTGGCCTGCTACAGTGTGGGCGGCCCGCAAAAGTGGGCTGGCACAGCCCACATTACACCTCCAAGTCCACGGCAAATACAACTTGTGTTATATTTAATTCATTGCATGTGACAACAGTTTATTTCAAGCATGGTGCTGTGTGTAACTTAGCAGTTTATCATATGACAGAAAACGAGTCGGCATTTGACCTTCTCTACTGCATAACGTTCAAGTTGATGGATCAGCAATGGCTTGCCATGCGCGCATCATACATGGATTTCAATGTATGTATGTCTTTTGTTACTTTTCATCTTCATCATCGTATTATTATGATATGTTATGCCACTTGACCTCGGCAAGTTATATCTGGTTAGAAGAACAAAGAACCCCTAGAGTATTGTCATTTTCCCTGATATATTAAGTGGAAGTTCTGAGCGGTGTTCATTTGATCTTACTTGACATCATCGCCATTCACTGATGAAAAAAATAAGGCCAAGTGCTGCCCAATGCTGTGCTGGATATCTAAAGCCTTACCCCAACTATATGGGGCCGGCATTCTGCATATTATGCTCTTGTTCTTGATTTTTTTTTTCTTCTTCCAGGTTGTGATGAAATCCACACGCCGGCAATTGGAAAGAGAACTGCTGCTTGAGGACATTACACGATTGGAAGATTTGCCTTCCTACAGCCTCCTCGTTCGATAACACGTCAGTTTTTTATTGACGGTTGTTGTATAAATTGTTCGAGGAAGCAAGATGCCTTTCATTGTCCGATACATTTTCCCACGGTTATTTTCTCCTTTCTACAACCCCACCTCTACTTCCATTCTTGATTAGCATGTTTCAATGGTGGTTTCCAATATTTTGTCATCTATGCAATTTGATTGACGCTGCCTTCCCGCCTGTAGTTTGGATTGAGTGTTGTGAGCTACATCTGGTAACTCAAAAAGTATAATTACATGCAAACAACATCCATGATTCTCTTCCCACAATGGTGAGAACCTGATCCTGATCGGTGGATGTTTTATGTGAGCCATGGATGCCTTGGATATAGAAAGGTTGAAAGGAAAGATTAGTGCTCCAAAAGCTCGTTTATTGGAATATGAGAATGGATTTGAAACTTGAAAGAAGATTTGTCATTGGGTGTATGCATTGGAGGATAAACTGGGTTTGTGCAACTATGTATTTGAGTTTTGAGATTTGTGACTCAGGTTTGGTCACTTGAAGAGCTGAAATAAATTTCAAGTTTGTTTGTAATGGAGTTCTTGTATAGTTTCGATTTCGAATTACACCAAACGCCACCCACTCTCAGGCTTGCCATCTGGCTATCGTAAGAGTTCATTACGTTCCGCTTTCGTCACTGTCATATGGTGCTCTACTACTGCATTGAACATGTCAAGTCACGATACATTCGATCAGTCAGTTTACTCCCCAGCAGTCAAAATTGTGGTAAAACATTGTTATTGGCAAAGTTTAGATTCTAATGTCTTGACAAAATTAACAAAAAAGATCAAGAAATTACAAGCATTGATCACACTAATTGGCTTTACAAGAACAAATTAACAATATTGCCCACTCATCTGTGACCTGACGTACAGAAAAGGCTGAATTTTCTAATAGCATCTGATGGAGGGTGATTTGGCTAACCTTGACTCTCACCAAGTGTGGGAGAACCCGAGCTCCTCCTAAGAGACCCTGAGCTCTCCTTTCCTAAGAAAGGAGCACCCTGGTTTTTGGCTAAGTATCCCGAGGGAGGAGTACTTCGGGGCAGCACCGCCTCTAGTGCAGGCGCCTCGGCACCTTGGTGCCTCGACAGCTCGGCACCACACCTTAGGTTGTCCGGCGTACAATAGCTCGGCAGGCTGCAAGGAGACATGTCTGACATCCGTACTTGCTAGATGTCAGGGGTAGGCCTCTGATCTCTTGTTAGATGGCGTTTTGTTTGCCAGGCGGTGTTCTATTTGCCGTCTCTGAAAGGCATGACGTGCCTATCAAGTCCGTTCCTGGCAATAGCAGTCTGTAGCGGCAACTTGCATCTGCCACACCTGCCCTGGCAGCAACGGCTAGAGCAATGGCAGTTGTGCCAGGTGTAACCGAATTCCGACATAAAAGAACCCCAACCCTCACGAAGAAAAGGTAGTGAAGCTTAAGCACTTTCAACACTCTTATTCTCTGTTCTTTCTTCGAGATTTCTCCAATTCTGACTTAGCCATCGGAATGTTCCCACCGGGAGAACTCCCCAGGAACCCTTCACCTTCTCTTTCCTCTCAGGTGCCACCCGTTCCAACCAAAACCCAAGTCACAACCAGGTAGGAGTGCCCAGATTGTGCAACATCATTTGGCGTCGTCTATGGGAAACACTTCGAAAAGCCTCCCTCTAATCTCTACGAAACTTCTCTCTCCTTTACTCACTAGCACCACCGACATCCATGGCTTCTTCTAGCAACTCCGAACGCCAGAACACCCCAGAGGAGCAACTCCAACTAACCACCGTTTGCATCGGACAGTTCACCGTCCCCCTCTCTGCGGACGGGATTCCTAGCCTGAACGTGTCTGCAATGGTGGCACCCGTAACTGTTCCGCTACCCCCTACAATCAGGACGACCTTCGCCGAACCCACCATTCTCCCTCCGGTGGCCGGCCAATGCCAACTTGAAGACCTGATGTAGTGCATGCAGGCCATGCAGGCCCAGATGCAGCAGTTCCAACAACTCTAGTTTCACCAGCAGCAAGTGCTGCACCAGGTATCCCAGTACCAATACCAGCAACAATTTTCTTCACTCCCTCCACGGCATCCGGCTGCACAGCCAACTATGTCTCAGCGCTGCAGTGAACTCCCTTCCCGTCGGGGAGAGACTTCGGCATCACCTCACGGAAGGAAGGGAAGACTCCCTACCCCCGCCATGCGGCCCGCGGTCAGGTCGGGGGCTTCCCAACCGGTTAGGCCGGCGTCACCCCAGCACTCGCAGTTCGAGCCTCTGCTCGCGGAGAACAGGTTTGAGGTGCTAGCCGACAACCTGGAACAGGGTCTTGTCCACAGCTACCTGTTAGACAGTTTTGTATGCCCTTAGCTTCAATCAGAATGATGTACTTTATGAGTTTATTGT